AATTGCCTCTAGTACTTGGAATTCAATCCATACCCTGCCTGTCTAGTCAAATCTTACTGAGAAATGTCTCCTAGATTTGTTACTTTCATCTCTAAGTCATACAAATAATCCTGAATGTTCCTATCACCTTGTTTTAAAGTATTGAACTCTTTCTACAGTATTTCAGCAAAGTTGGAAGGGAAACAAAAGTCTATAAGTCCTCTAAAGAACTGAGCAAGTGTCCATCTATACTTATGGTTTACAATCTTTTACAAATAGAAATTCATTACTTTTCCCTTAATAAAACCTAGCATTATCCTTACTTGGCTCTTAGGGAAATGATAAAGTCCTGATTGTTTCATATACTGATTGACTTTAATAACAAACTTTGTATACTTCTGCAAGTCTGGTTCACCTAAGTATACTGTAGGAGCTATTAGTTCTGTACTGTGTATCTGTATCTTCAATTTGAGGAGTTCTTTGTTCTGTTTCTTCCTCAAGTGTTTCTTACACTTCTTAGTAGCTTTAGTATTACTTGAATCAATGTCTGACAGTTTGAATAAAGTATTACTTTGATTATTGTTATTAGATGAAGAGGAATCTGAATTATTACTGTCTAAGTCTAATCCTAGGTCAAAATTTCCCTTTCTCTGTATTCTAGAGCTCTGTATTGCTCTGTATACATAACTATTCTTTGCTAGGCTCTCTGAAGGTCTTACTGATGCAAATCTGCCTTTCTGAACATTATTCAGTACTTTGTTATGCTTGTGTCCATTGTTTGTTCTTAAACTACAGTTGGAGCTATTCTTATACTTGCTACACTTAATATGTAGCTTTGAACTGTATAGTTTACTATAGTCTGAATTAATATTGTTCTTACTAATACTACTAGTGTATGCCTTGCCTGGGACTGCTTTCAATTGTGAAGTATTGTTATGAGATCATTTGTTTACTGATTTAATACAATGTATGCTCTAATACTCTGAAAAACTTAATGTTTCTATTTAAGACTGTATATATCTAGGTTTTTCACTTTCTCTCTTATTCCTGAACCTGGCTAGGGTGTTGTATCTATTGTAGTACTCCTGTACATTGCTCCTGTACAATGTGTAGTCAATATCTACTATGTATAAGGTTAAACACTTGATTTTGTAAGTGTATGCTTGATTTTCACCCTCTAGATCAAGTACTAATCCTTGTAGTTCTAATTTGTATTCACTTTTGCTATCCTCAAAGTACTAGTCTGTCAATGTGATGTCTGTTTCACTAGGATAGTCTGAATTGATTTCACAATTGTATTGAATGTCTAACAGTTCTGGTTTTTGTTCCATTCCTTACACTTTGTATATTCCTCTTACTTTGTACTTTCTTTTTGCTTTCTATAAATACAATCATTTGTCTAGACTCTTGAGTGTTTCTTCTACACTCTTAGATTGATAGTTATGATCTCTACTGTCTGTTAGTACTGTAGTATGTCTGGATTTTGTTCTGTAGCCTGCCTGAAGCATTTTACACTTTTCTCTTACAATACTATTGAGTCTACTCTTGTTTGATGGAGGAGTTACTTTCTCCTCTTCCTGATACATTCTATCAAACTTGTACGTTTTCTTATTCAAATCTTCAATATCTATTGAACTGTGGAATGGGCTGACATGTCTTATGTCTATCTCAATTGCTCTGGCTCTTACAATGTGTCTGAAGGTCTTACTTGCCTTCTAAAAGTCTTGTTCCTTATCAAATCTCTGTAGTTCTAATACCTAACTCTTCTAGCCTTTGTTACTCTTGTTCTTTGAGTCCTGACTACTTTCTTCACTGTCTAAAAGGGTCTTAGATGTCTTATTACCCTCTATATTACTGTTGTCAATGTGTTTCCATTCTAAAGTAAGTGTGCTCACTAAATACTCATCTATACTCTCACTAATACTAACTATATACATAATGTACTCCTTGTATTAGCTGGCAAATTCCTCAATACTTACTGTTAGCTCTCTATGTCAACTTGGTAAATCCTCAAACCAAATTGCCTACTCTCTATTAAGTGAATCCTCAAACTTGGTAGCCTCAAATCAATCAAGCAAATCCTTAAGCTCAATTGCCTGTACTCAGTGAGTTGAATCCTCAATTCTAACCTTTTGTACTCAATTGGATGAATCCTCAAATCCAATCACTTAAGTGTTTCTACTCTCTGTACCTTTGTTTACTATTTCTCTAAGCCTAGTAAGGTTAATACTTGCTAGTGTCTGCTCTACAGTGTGTGTTTGTCTAACTATATGTACTAGTATAGTTACATACCTTAATTCTACATTATTAGTATGTAGTAGTTCATTAGGGTGCCTCCAGCCTTGTGTAGACAAGGACTTATCACCTGGAATAAGTTCATTAGGTTGCCTCCAGCCTACAAGGGACAAGGACTTACATTCTAGCATGTTAGTATCAATATCTGGACTTGGGTACCCTCTGAGAATTGTTAGTCAAGGCTTAGCAGTCACATTGTAATTAATAACTAATAGGTAATCTTGTTGTCTATTGTCTGTAAACTTAATGTGTACCTGTTTGTTCCTTTTTGCCTTTACAGATGCCTAGTCCTTGACCTATCCAATTAATGCAAACCTCTAGCATATCTAGCACTAGTCTATATCAATATGTGATAATGTGTTCTAAAAGTATTCTACAGTATTCTGAAGCATTGTGAACCTACTAAGAGCTAATCTTGTAAGTAGTCTCTGTTTCTACTTGAAAATCATAACTTTACTTACTAATAATTCCTAATGGGTACTAGACAACAAGGGAGACCTAGGGTTGATTAGACCCTTTAGTTCCTCAGTGTCTAGCAAGAGGTTTCAATACTAGGTGGGTACAGTCAAAAATATGTAAGGAAACTCACTGTTCCTCACAAGAGAATTCTAATCACCCTTAGTTCACTCAACTACTGACTAGAATAACCTAGTACTCGAGTGAGGGGTCAGGGGAAAATAATCCCCTTTACCTAGCAGTCAATACTGTCTTTTATAAGGATATACACATGTAGATACATGAGGAGGAAGTGTAACTAACTATGAGAATATATGTGCTTGTGGGTCCTACTGTGTAATGATCTGACACAATCAGTAATGTAGTAATAATAAAATACAAACTAGTAAATCAAATCCTTACAGTTACTTATTGAGTATAATATGATTGAGTGTGTCAAATCATTTGTACTATAGTGTATAGTACACTAAAGCATTTAAGATGACAATTGTAGTACATATAGTCATACATATAACTACTGAGAGGGAATCATAATCACTTAGATGATGATTTCAAAGTGTTGTGTTTGTAGAGGGTAAGATAAAAGTGTAGTAATAATGTAGATATGAGTAGGGAGTGTAAGGCTCATAACCTGTTAGCATTTTAAGGTTGCAATGTTTCCCTAAGAGTTAGTCACACAAGTAGGGGTTTAGTAGACTCTACTCATAGTGTGTAGGTGTTGATACAAGTTGACTGTATAGTTTGTAATTTGTTGTATATGATTATAAGCTTTATTGTCCTTAGATTAAAGTATTATACATGCTATTCTATATTGTATGTCTCAGATATATGTCTTGGTTGATGTCTCAGTGTAATAACACATTGTAATGAGACAGTTCTGTATTGTATAATGTATATATGCACATAGTAAGACATTAGACAAATTTACTCAAAGTAAATGTTAACAATATACTTTTTTTTAATTGTCTACTATCTAATATCTGCCCTACTAATTAAAAGGTACTCTTATACATTCAAATTAAATGTTTCATACTATTTATTAGTGTACAAAATAGTTGTTCTCCTCTTTACTATTATTAAGACTGAGTACAAGTGTAACTTCTTTTACAATCCAATCTGACAGATACAATGTGTTGAACAAGTATACTAAATAACCTGTACTACTACTAGTAGTACAGAATCCTACTTGTGTACTCTACTACTTAGTACAGTTGGTTTTTGAATAACACAATATAAATACAAATATTCAGTCAGAGTTCTTATTGAATGAGTACATTAACTGTAGGTTGATACTATAGGATGAATAAGACTTGTTACTCACATCAAAGCATTAATGTAATGAATGAATACACTTGTTAGACTTAATAAGAATAAAGACAGTTGAATCAGAGCTACAACTTTCTTAACTATGTACTGAGAAACCTTTACATAGCTATTAAGAGGACATATACTTGTAACAGCAGTTCAATCAATACAACATATATCTGACAATGTACTATGTGTCTAGCACTATTGATAGTCCATTCCTGTTCCACTCAACCATTACCTTGTCATTAATTGTCCAGCTTACTTATTACTTAGCATATTAAGCAACATTACAGGTATTGTCTATTTGGCAGAAAGTAACAATGCAACACATGTTTTACACAGTAATCAAAGGCAGATTGAGCACAAATCAGTGAAGATAGGAGGGAAGGGGGATAGGGGGTAGCAGTAGGCAGATATAGTACAGACAAGACAAGAAAGGCATGCATACCAAACAGAGGTTGTAACTTCAACTAAGCAGGAGCAAGAAATGACTGACAACACAAACCCAAGGCTGAAAGCACTAAAAAGAGGCTCTAGCTGCACGTATTGAGAAACAGAAAGAGGACCAGACATACCTGAGCGATAAGTCCACGACCTGGTGCCTAGATGTTGAGGTTGTTCATTATAAGTATAAAAACATGAGAGAGAGAGAGTGGAAGACGAACCAAGGCAGCAATTCACCAGTCAAGACATGAATTATCGTTGACAACCAGCTGATAAATAACGATTGTAGAGAGCTGAGACGAATTCGAGGGAACAAACGAAACGTGCAGGTCCGCTTAAGAGCTAGACGTCAAGATTGTCAGCGATAAGGCATGAAAGGATAATAAAAAGGGACAAACGTTCACAGCAAATCAACTGTCGAAATACGCGTCTGAACCAACAACCAAGGAGCAGATGAAAGAGAAAAAGAAACGACGAGAAAAGACAGTGAGGGAGGGGAAAGACGGGTGTGATCACGTTCAGGCAGGGAAGAAGGTCGTACGGTTGAAATCGGCGTGCTTGTAGTGGAGCTTGAGCTGCTGGACGACCCACCAGGCAGGAGTCCCATAGGTGACATGGCTGCTAAGCCCCTTGGGCATGCTGGAGTGGAGGATGGCGAGCATGAGGCCACCGCCAGTAAAGATTACGGACCCAGAATCGCCTTTGGCAGAGAAGTTGCCAGAGGTCTTACTGTAGTTGTAAACCGCAACTTCGATAGACTCTTTGCCAAATTCGTCGCAGAGGTAAGCTTCCAGTCCGGAGTAGCGACCAACTGTAAAATCAGTCGTGCAGCCGACCTTGCCAACAATGTAAACTGGGTCGCCATTCTCGTCGTAACAGTCGGGATTAGCAAGCTGCTCGCGTGTAACAACGCCCTGAATCCTGAGCATGCGGTTGGAGGGGAACTTAATGCCGGACGGATTGGTATTGTTGGGCCAGAACATTGTGTTCAGTTCGTGAGAAGAGTATTTGTTCCCTGAAGGTTATTTTTATGAGGTGAGATAGATATTCATGGGAGAGACAAGACAAAACGCACCGAGGTCCACGAAATTCCCCTGGAAGTTGTCCTTGAACTTCTGAGGGTCGAGTTCGAAGGTACCGACGTCCCGAGTGTAGTAGTTTTCGTCGACGTCAATGGCAATCTTCGGTGCCCAATCGACGGAGCCGATGTTTCGGCGGGCAATGTCGTGCCACTGAGTGTTGATCTCCTTGAAGAACGCCTGGAGCTTGACGTTGTCCTTGTTGACCTTCTTCAACTGAGCTTGCTTCGTCTCCAAGGCTTCCTCGTCCTCCTCCGCCTGCTCCGGGTCGTTGCTCTTCGGCTTCGCCTCCAATCGGGCAATTTCTTCAGCCAAGCGGACGGCCTCAGCGACGTTCTTGGTAACCAAAGCTCTGGTCTCGGCAAGCAAGCGCTGGAATCGTCTCATTCCGCAGACCCTGACGTATTGGCGAGGCGCGCCAGCGCCCATGAACTGGTAGTCGACCGTTGTATCAGCGCGAAGGACGTGCTTGTTGCTGACACCGAGGACCCTAGCACTAGGATCACTGTTCCTGTCCTTGTTCTCATGGAAAAAAAAGGAGACGCTGCCCTGGGCATCCATGTCCTCCCTCTCTCTCGTAGCAATGGGCATTCCCAGCACGGCTGTCAATGCGCGACGGACGTAGTAGGTTGGGTTAGTTTCGTCACCGACGCGCATCAGAGCCAGACCCGACAGCTTCTCCACAGAACCCTCATACCATTCGACGACAGCACCCTTGACTTTGTGTTCTTCGAGAATGCGGAGAATGTCTGGTGAAGCGTCACGGGCATTCTCTGCACTGGTGGTGGTGGGATGTGTGGAGATCCAGATCACGATGGGACCTAGAGTCTTCTTCCCGTCCTCGTCGCGGGTAGAGAAACGAGCACTCTTCAGGGCAGAGTACTTAATACAGCGTTGCTTGAGCAAGGCAACAATCAATGGAGCGACTGTGTGCCAGACTGGGTTGAGTGGCGTTTTGAACACTCCTTCCGCGGTTTTGACAGGGATTTCAGACCATCTGGCCCTAGGGGGAGGAAGTGGGAAGGGATTAGACTCGAGATCGGAGCGGTACAGAAGTTCAGGAGGGTCGGGAGAGATCCCGTGATAGTAGTGAGTCCTCTCGAACTCTGAGACAAGGTGTGGGGCGGTGGCAGTATCATCTGAAGCGAGGCTAAGCTGAGAGATGAGGGTGTCGGCATCACTAAAGGTCGGGGAGGTCGGGACTTGGATATCTTGCTGAGCCGAGAGGTTCTGGCACTCCACCATGAACCATGTCAGGCCTAACGGCAAAGTGGTAAGTGGGATAAAGGCGGAAAGAAACTGAGAGACTCGCCGTCCAAAAGTTCTGGGTGTGCCCTTGCCATTTCGATCGTGAGTCTGACGGACTCGGGAGTGCCTACAGGGGACGATAAGTAAGGGATAGACGTGCACAATGACGGAGTGACTCGCTGTCGCCCATGAACCCGTCATTGATGAGATCTTGGTCACTGAGTTGGACAATCTCTACAGAAAACGATCAACGCTCGTAAATGGAACAGACAAGGGGAAAGACTGGCAGCACTCACTTTTATCTTCTTTATCTTCCATGGTAGATGTTCATGCAAGTGGCAAAAAAACGCAGGAAAGCTTGTAGATGGGAGGAGACACAGAGCCATCACGAAAAAGTCGCAACAAATGTAATTAATAATAGCAAATATAACATAATAATGTACTTATATATCAATTACAATTCAAAATTACAATTATACTTTGCTTGTAATTGAAATGTAACAAATGTATATAAATATAATACTTATACAAGAATTGTATTATACTACAATTGTTTTTTGAAGCAAGTAATGTTACTACCAGTATTACTACAATATTATATGTGAGACATAAGTACTTAACTTTTATTATAATATGTTAAAATTGTATATAAATTTATATACAACAGTAGCCAATTAATAATAAAGTTTATAACAGTTCTCTATTACTCTTGCAAGTGTTTTATAAGAGTTCAACTTTTGTTATATTATAATGGAAGTATTGCATTACTCTTGTAATATATACATAAGTCAGAGTGATTATACTCTTATAAAGTAAATAATTGGCTGAACAGCTGTTTATAATAAACTCATAAGTATCTTAAGTACTAGCCAAAATATGTGTACATTTATTCTCATCAGTCAACAGAGCATTTATAATAATAATATTTTAAATGTGATACTTTATAATATAAATTATCTGTGATTACGTAATCAAGGACTGAAGATCAATGTAACCTTGTGGAGGTTACACGCGATCTGTTAGCCTCATCACATGACTTATCTTATAAATAGCTCTCACATGGGGCATTTCACAATTTCTTGCCTTAAGAAATAACTTACATAATGATAAACATTATTTGTAATTTAGTTTACCATTTTTGGTTGGCAGAAACTCTGAACAGAATTTAAAATTTTCATTATACAAAAACTAGAAATTAATTTTAACATTTCCCTATTTGTAAAATCTTTAAATATATGGAGATAATAATTTAAAACATAATTTAAAGTTTTTCCTATAGCAAAATTATAAATTTTCTTTCAGATTTAGTGACAAGAAAAATTTGAAATTTCTTTTATAATATTAAATTGAATGAAATATTAAAATAAATTTTAAATTTTACTTGAGAGAGAAATGCCATAAAGAATTTAAAATTATTTTAGAGTGGGCAATCAATGGGCAATCACTGGGCAAGCAATGGGCAAGCAATGGGCAAGCAATGGGCAATCAGTGGGCAATCAACAGGCAATCAACAGGCAACTACCAAATGAAGCAAAAATGTCTTCATTTGGTAGTCACCCGTTGATCACCTGTTGATTGCCCACTGATTGCCCATTGCTTGCCCATTGCTTGCCCATTGCTTGCCCACTGACTGCCCACTTTGAAATAATTTTAAATTTTTTTTGGCATTTCTTCTCTAGGTAAAATTTTAAATTTCTTTTAATATTTTATAAGATTTAATATTATAAATGAAATTCTAAATGTTTTTTGTCTTAAAATTTGAAAGAAAATTTATAATTTTGTTTTAAAAGAAACTTCAAATTATGTTTTAAATAATTATTCTCATTTATTTCAAGATTTCACAAATAAAGATATGCTAAAATTAATTTATAGTTTTTGTCTAAAGAAATTTTTAAATGTTGTTTACAATTTCTATCAACCAAAAATGGTAAATTAAATTATGAATTATATTTAACATTATGTAAGTTATTTTTTAAGGCAAGAAATTGTGAAATGCCTGATGTGTCTAAGACATTCCCAAGACTGTATCTCTTCTTGTACCTCCTTCAATACTAGTCAATTGCCTGTTCTGCAACCTGAGTGAGACATTGTCTCCACTTTTTTTTGAACGTCACAATTGTCTGGCCTGCCAACTGCTATAAAGACTTACTAGCTTCTCTGACTGTCAACCTGCCACCTGCCACTTGTCACTTGTACCTGCCACCTGCTGCCTAGACCTGCCACTTGCCACCTGCCTCCTGCACTCGACCTGCCACTAGCCACCAGCCACCTGTCTACTCCAACATGCCCTGTCCTCTAGCCCAAATTAGTGGTTATAAGCCCAACTCTGCCCCTACTGTAACAGACAGTCAAATGACCCTAAAGCTCCTTGGTGAATATGCCTGCAAATGCACTGCCTTCTTCACACACAAGAATATTCCCAACAACAAACAAGTCTGCCTCATCATACATGGTCTTGAGCCCATTGAAGTCTGTAGTTGGTATACAGCCCACCCTGGCTGGATTGAGGCCATGGAGTTTGAAGAGTTCATTGCCAACCTTAAGGGAATTGTTCTTGAGTGTAATTGGGACCTTAAGCTGTGTAATGAAATTGAAAATCTCAAACAGGACAGAAAACATGCTAACAAGTTCTATTTCAAGATTCTTGGCCAAAACCATCTCCTCAGCAGAAGTCCTGCCATCCTCTCTTACCAGGAAATCTGCTTTCTCATGAGCACCTGTCTGGATATTGACCTCAAACGAGTGTGCTCTGAACCTGGAATTCAAGGCATTGCTGACTTCCAGGACTGGCTTGCTGCTGTTTGTGAGGCTGACAACCATGTACACAACCACTGCAAGCTCATTGCAGATACCATCCATAGCTACAAAGGCAGTCGTGCCACACAGTCAGCTCCCTCTTTCTCTGGTCCCTTGAGGACTTCTAATACAATTTCTCAGGCCCAAGAGAATGCAGCAAGCCTGAAAATTGAGAAACTCTTGACTGCAGAGAAATTCACACTCAATTGTCACAATGGATGCTTCAAATGCTGTTTCATGTATGTCAATCACCTTGCAAAGGACTGCCAGATCCTGTATTCAAGAATAAATTGTACATCTATCACCAAAGCAGAAGGCATCTGCCTACGTCCAAAGCACATGCCCCCTCTGCCATCTTTGAACTGTGTCAAGTCTGTGCCAGTCGCATCAATTACAACTAATATCTGGCTCAATCAACTTCCCAACTATGTGTGTGTTTCATTGTAGCTTGAACCACTCACCACTGTGAGTTTGTCATTGTCCTATCAAGAAGAAGATACAGTAGCAGCTGCTCTTGGGGTGGAAATGCCCTCAGCTGTCCATGTCAATGACTCAGACAAGTACATGCCTATTAACCCCCCCCAAATCCATTGGGAGTGTCTGCTAGACGGTCCTGCAACACCAAAACCCTTGTCTGTCTGTGCCCTTATTGACAATGGCTCTTCTCTAGCAATTATTGATGAAGCACTTGTATGCAACCTCGGATTGCCCTGTTTCTGTCTCTCTAGCCCTATTCATATCTCCCTTGCTCTATCCAATTCTTCTTCCAATTCTTCACAAACCCTACATGAATACATTAAACTCTCCCCTACTTCTGTTGATTACACCTGGAAATCCCACACTATTAGGGCAGTAGTTGCCCCCTCCCTGTGTTCACCAATCATCCTAGGCCTACTGTTCTTACTTGTGAATAGAATCACAGTCTCTCATTATCACACACAGACTATTTGCTCCACTCCCAACTACTAGCTCCTGCCTGTATCCTGCTGGATTCCAACTTCACAAGCATTACAAGTTGACTCTCCCTCTCCAGACATCATCTCAGCAGTACATGCAAAAATCCAAGAGCTTGCCTCACAGGATCACCTCTCCAAGTTAAGTGATGGCCTGTGTAAGCAATACACTTTACTTTTCTGTTCAGAGCTCCCCCATGTGGACATTCCCTTCTGATGTTTTCCACTGCTTCAAATTGAAAGATCCAAACCTTCAGATAAAGCCTTGCCAGTACTCCTGCCCTAGAAAATATTGCAACACATGGGAGGTCCTTCTACAGAGCCATCTTCTGACTGGCAGATTAAGACCCTCTTCCAGTCCTATCTCCTCTCCTGCTTTCCTCATTGCTAAATCAGACCCTTCAGCTCTTCTGCACATGGTTTGTGATTATCAGGAGCTTAACAGCAATACAATACCTGATAACTATCCACTACCTTGGATAGACAATATCCTGGCTGACTGTACAAAAGGTCTTATTTGGGGAAAAATTGACATGATGAATGCCTTCTTTCAGACCTGTGTTTATTCTGATGACATCTACTTGACTGCAATCAATACACTGTTTAGACTCTATGAATGGACTGTCATACCTATGGGCTGCAGAAATGCTCCTGCCACCCACCAGCATCATGTGACGGAAGCCTTGCATTGTCTCATTGGCAAGATCTGCCATGTCTATCTGGATGACATCATTATCTGGTCTGCCAATCTCGAAGCCCATGCTAAGAATATCTCTGTTGTTCTAAACTCCCTTCAGGAAGCACACCTCTTCTGTTCTCTGAAGAAAACCTCCCTGTTCTGTTCATCAATTGATTTCTTAGGTTATCAAATAGATCAGCAAGGCATACATACAGACCCTACCAAAACTGAGAAGATTATACAATGGCTGGTGCCACAATCTTCTTCAGACACACAGAGGTTTCTTGGTCTTGTCCAGTTTCTTGCTCCCTTTCTACCTAGACTTGCAGAACATACTGCTGTCTTGAACCCTTTGACATCAAAGGAATGTGATAAGGATTTCCCACACTGGTCTTCAAAGTTTCAACATGTGTTTGATGCTATCAAGGCTCTTACTATGTCTGCACAATGCTTAATGGTCATTAACCACCTGGATCCTGGTGACAATAAGATCTATCTCTACACAGATGCCTTGGATCTCTGTACAGGCACAGTTCTCTCCTTTGGGCCTTCACCAGACTTGGCTCATCCTGTTGCTTATGACTCTACTCCCTTGAAGCCTGCAGAGTGTAACTACCCAGTCCATGAAAAGGAATTGCTTGCCATTGTGAAAGCTCTTAAAAAGTTCTGCTCTGACCTCCTGGGAACTACATTCACTGTATTCACAGATCACAAGACACTCACAAGTTTCCTTTCCCAGAGAGATCTCTTGTGCTGACAAGCATGTTGGTAAGAATTCCTGGCTCAATATGTTTTTAATGTTCAATATGTGCCTGACAAACAAAACAAAGCTGCTAACACTCTGTCCAGACTTCCAGATGAGGAATTCTCCCCCCCTACAGTAGTATCCT